CTGCCGTAATTTTTAATTCGGTTCCACCGTACATAGTAACCTCTAGGAAAAAAACGGCAAACACAACAGGATAAGACTCAAAGAAGAACAAAGAAAAATCCCTTATTGAAACCTCAGATTGTACTCTACCTTTCAAACGTCTTTAGGAACTCTTCACCTTAGAACTCGTGGAATAGCTCGTTACAGTATAGCCTAGCACTTAACACTTTGTTTATTTCCCGTGCACACTTTAAATATCATAAGCATCATTGGAATGTCTTCCTGACCGTATTTTGCCATATTAAAATGTCTTTTCAAGGATCTCAAATAGATTGATGTTTATAGAACACCATTTATTCCCGTATTCCCGTCTTTGGTTAACGAAGATCACTATTATTTTTACACAACCTATTTCCTAACAAATCAAAAAGCCTTACTATCCAATAATCTTCAACTTGCCTCGTCGATCAAGCTATTAGGCACGATCTTTGAAGCAAAGTTGTAGTTTGCTGAACATGCTGATTATGTTTGTGGTCGGTAGAACCGGGCGTTCTATTCTTTACACCAGTTAAAAACAATGCTAGGACAAAATGAGCTGCTATCTATTTATTACAGTCTAGCATATTCACATGTATCATACAAGATAATGATTTGGGGCAGGTCAAGGTACAAATATTTTTATTGCAGAAAAGAATTTTGTGATTAATTTTTAATAAAAGGCAACGAGATAGCTGCAGAGAGATTTTTGTTCATGACTAACTTTTAGCTGTGAAGATGTTTTAGAGTGTGTGTGTTTTGTCAAAGTTTACCCTAGGAACTTTAGTAGCTTAGACAGGTGTACCAATTATGTGACTCGGAATACCGACTTATCATAGGTACAAAATCATAATACATCTTTATTCGAACCCTTTTATCATTTTACAACCGTGTACTTTGCAATAACTTGCCTCATGATGTACGATATCTGGCCGATTATAAAATGTTAAGCTAATGCTGACTGAGCGGTGTTTTTATAATTTAAGCGTAATGAGGTGTTTTAATTCATCTTAATCTTTGACTTGATATACTAAGTGACATATAAATCCGAACACCCAGTTTAAATGGTTTTATTTTAATAAAATTTTGTATAAGTACTTAATGAAGCATAATAAGTAAATGATAAAAATTTCAAAATGAATGCACTGCTTTAAAGCCCTTTAACCTTTAATAATGTGTGGATGCACCCTGATGTGCTACGCATTCTCCAACGCGCCTAGGCATGCTTCTGATCAGGTCGTCAATGTCCTCCTGTGGTATCTCATTCCAGGCAATCACCAACTCCTCTCGAACTGCTTCTACAGTCTGAGGAGGACGTTGCAAATTGAGCAATCTCCTACCCATCATATCCCACACGTGCTCAATTAGGGATATGTCGGGAGATCTTGGTGGCCATGGTAACAATATGACATCTTTATGTTGAAAGAAGTCTATTGTGACTCTTGCAACATGTGGTCGGGCATTACCTTGTTGGAAAGTTGGATATGCCATGCTGCCAAGATAGGGTAAAAGATGGGGTTCTAGAACTTCGTGGATATAACGCTGCGCGTTCATGTTACCTCTGATGAAGATTAAAGGTGACCTGGAACCATAAGCTATAGCACCCCAAACCATAACTCAAACAGTGTGATGAACAAAAAACTGTGGATTCCTCCTTTCACCACGTCACCTTCTAACCCTGGAGCGACCATCGTGCATGCCTAAACAAAAATCGAGACTCGTCACTAAAGACAATACTGTTCCATTCCTGATCCCAGAGTGACCGTTCTCTGCACCACTCAAGGCGATTACGTCGGTGTTCTCGAGTTAAAGGGAGGACCCAGTGTGGCCGGTATAAAAACAAGCCAAAACTTCTCATTCGTCGGTAAACACTTCGCAAGCCAATAGGTCCTCCGTGTTCTGCAAACCATTCATTTGCAATGGACCTGGTAATGGAGAAACGGTCCCTTAAGGCCAATAATCTTAGGCGGCGATCTTCACGGTCTGTTGTTCTACGGCGGCGTCCAGTGCTCCTTGCTCTTTGCGTACGGCCTTCTCGAAGCCATGCCTGACAACACCTAACCACAGTGTCTATACTTCTTTGCACTCTAACTGCAATTGCCCGCAAAGAAAGTCCAGCTTCCCGAAGTCCCACTATACGGCCCCTATCAAACTCACTAAGTTGACGAAATCGTACAGGTCTCCGTACTCTAGGCATCACTTAGTATATATACACATCATATGTATTATGTGATTTATAGGTATTTATTTATTATTTGAGAGCTTTTGTGTCGAGCTTTATTCGTCATACAGGGCAGCAATAGATCTAACTGTCAAACTTGATCGATTTTAAATGACTTGCATAAGAATATCAAATAAAAAACGAGGTTTATAGAAATGAAAAATTAAAATGACGACATATTATCAATTTAAAACTTTATCCTGGGAAGCTAGCCTGATCCATCTTTTCAAAATTGTCAGCAGTAGTGATTTTAGATCAATTGACAGTTTGATTGTTATTTCTTGATAGCCCATGTGACGGCAACTCCAATATTTCTCTGTTTCATATACTGTAAATACCAGAATTTATGGAACAAAAATTGTTTATGTGTGTTTTGACGCAAACGACTACATTCAACATGTTTACTGAATTTTGTGAATTATTCCCAGCAGCTAAGGCAATAGTTGCAATAGTTCTAATAGCTCTTTTTGTATTATAAAAAGCTTAGTTTCAAAAACTAGGAAATCAGATAAAAAGTAATAACTGGTGGGTCTCTGGAGCTAAGGAGACACAAACTCGCAAAGCAAACAGACATTTATTGAACAAAAAAAATAGAAAAAATCAAGGTCCACGACCGCTACCGCGACTGCGACCACGAACGCGACCGCAACCTTGACCGCTTCCGCGACTGCGACCACGACCGCGGTCACGACCTCGACCGCGACCGCTACCGCGACTGCGACCAAGACCGCCACCGCGACCACGAACACGACTAATAAAAAATATCTAAGAACTGTTGCGCGTCTATGATCGAGATGGAAGGTTGTTTTCTCGGAAATCGTATGCGTAGATTCCAAATTCGATGTCGATACGGTGCTAGAAATTACGGCTAGCCCGGAAAAATGATTATCAGTCAACTTTTCACCCTAAATCCAGTGCGATGACACCTTAGAATTTGTTCACTATGACATTCATATTCAGCGCCTTAAATTACCTTATTGAGCAAAGTTTCGCTTCCATGTAGTCATCGATAGTAAAAATGGGTTTTTAGCACCATAGCAAAAAGCGCGTACGTTTGCAATTTTTCGCTGAATAATTAGATCTAAATGATAAACGGGATATCAGAAACGACTTCGGAATCGGTATTGGCGGCCCAAAATACGTAGAATAAAGGTCATTTGAACTGCATTTAAAGCATTTTAACATATAATCATCACCAATTACCATAAGGGCACAAAATGGGTCAGTCGAGAACGTGAGCGCGACATCTCTTATAATACGCTTCTTGGATCGCTGAAACCGAATCCATGGCCCAATGGCCCATTCAGTCCGAAAATGCCTCGTTTTCGAGATACCTGCAAGAATTCAACTTTGTCAAAAAACGACTAATAAAAAACTGTCGCGTGTCTATGATCGAGATGGCAGCCTGTTTTCTGGGTAAATCGGGTGTTTAGATTCCAAATTTGATGTCATTACAATGCTTGAAATTACGGCTAGCCCGGAAAAATGGTTTCCTATCAACTGTTCACCATAAATCCAGCCTGATGACCCTTTTTTTCACTGTGACATTCATATTCAGCGCCCCAAAATACCTTATTGGGCAAAGCTTCGCTTCCATGTGGTCATCGATAGTAACAAAAGGTTTTTAGCACCTTAAAGTCGCAAAAACGCGTAGTTTTGCAATTTTTCGCTAAGTAATCAGATCTAAATGATAAACGGGACCAGACACACCTGAAGCGACTTCGGATTCTGTATTGGCAGCCCAAAATACGTGAAATAAAGGTCATTTGTACCGCATTTAAAGCATTTTTACATATAATTATCATGTATTGTTACCAAAAAAGCACAAAACCACCTATGCAGGTGCTTGGCTTTTACCGGTAGGCAACCGAGAGCAGGAAGTCCCACTTGTAACCTTAAGGTAGAACCCAAACTTAGAACCGGAAGGTAGAACCCGATGGTAGAACCCGAAGGTAGAACCGGAAGGTAGTACCCTCGAGCAATAAGGGCTTACAAAAATGGGGAACTGCTTCTCACATGCGTGAGTCCCACTCAAATTCGCCTCGGACTATCACTGCAGACAGTTCCCCTCAGCTCGATGGATGAGTGTGGTTATGTCCACGACTAGATCCCCAAGAGGGTGAGAAAAAGGCCCCGACAAAAAAACCACCGAGAGGGCCGATTTCAAACGACAGAAAATCCACCACCATATACAACCGTGTTAAACTATTTCACAGAATCGGGTAGTGGGCCGCAGAATTCCTACACCAGAGCTCCGAAAATAGCACCGAGTCACCTCCAGCTCGCGTATTCTAAAAAAATGAGCTCCAACGAGATGAAGAGTAGAGTACCATTTTCTAACACAAAACTATTCGACCAGGACCTGAGGTCTCACATCTACCGACTAAGCTTGTTTTCTAGGGATTACACTTTGGGTTTGCAGAAATAATAAAGTTTGCAGGTAAACGTATGAGTTAAGAGTAGCTTGACAACAAACCTAGAAGTAAATTATGTAAAGATGTTAGAGCATGTTACTCCAGAACATCGTGCATCTCACCAGTTTGACTGTGTCACATTTCCGGCGTATCCTCCACCGCTGTTCTCCTCGCCCTTGACTGCCATCCTCTACTAACCTTTATTCTGAAATTGCTCATGCAGCTTGACCTTGAGCCGCAGTCATCCTCCAAAAGCAACAGGTAGCGAAATTGAGCTTCGGCGTCGACTCCAACATCTGTCGGACGGTCAGAACCCTCCTTGATGAGCTTGGCAGCTTCAGTCTGCGCGAATCGGGTCCACACAGCGGACGAAGCTGGTGATGCAGCTGGTTCAGCTGCTGCATCTCCGACGCGTTGTCGCTTTCGCGAAATATCGTTACCCTCTTGCGCGATGTTTTGGCTTGCAATGACTTTGTGGTGAACTGACCAGGTTGTTAGATATTTCATATTATTGTCTCAGCTGTTTTTTTTGGACTCATACTCGTAGCAAACGTTGTTGCTGCTAAATTTTTTTACATCAAAAGCACTGGTGAGGGGAGTCTGAATGGTGATCGAAACCCAAACCGTGATGTAATCGACGTGCACAGAGGTAAATGATAGATCTAGCTGGACAAAAACATTTTACCACCGTTTAGCATCATCGTGAACCTACTGATTAAAAAAATGCTTTCTAGTACTTAGTACTGCTGGTCTTTGAAATAAGTTATCGATTTTGTAGATTTCAACCAATTTCATTAACTTTGCCCAGGTATTGCAGCCCAAAGGAGTTAATTAAATTTGAGTTCCTAAACCAGAATAGTATTGACATGGTACTAGAAATAAAATAATTTTCGGTTGAAAAATAAAATAAACAAAAATGAGGTAAAATATACAAATTGGGCTAATTAACTCAAAGTTAACAAACTTAATACTTTTAATTAATTAATCATCAGAATAGCTTTCACCACTCTCCAAACCAAGGAGCCTCTGGCGAGCCGTATGCGTGAATGGTTCAGCAGGAAGAACTTGGAATAATAACTTGATACTATAACCTTAGAAATATATTGCATTAGGGCGTTTTCCTTGGAGTATTCGGAAAATTTGCTTAACACATTTTTCACATGATAACTTTAGTATTACACATACTGTTTCATTTATATGTTGATGATTTGCCAATACAATGTATGGAAGTATATCTTTATAGACATTGCTGGCATGAAGCTATCAGGTTTGAAAAATTAACGACAGACAGAGAGACTGCAAACAAATTAAGGCTTTACCATCGGAAACGCGCCAATAGCTTTTCAAACTAAAGTTTCTTTAGAACTCCAAATAAAGGGACTTAACTTTTTACTGAAGCAGATTGGTTTCAAATAATACATTTGTGCACCTGTGACATCTATTAATATGCTATATTAACTTTTTATACAGAAATGGGATGGAGTTAAGGATACAGTACGTATAATATGTTTATAATTTTGTATAAAGTGCTATGTGTAAATGATTTTTAATCATTTTTAGAGGTAGCTTTGATAAAGTATTTTGTATCTGTAAACAGTTCTATCGAGCTTATTTTACAATTCTGATCATTTTCCTCTTCTCTCTCTCTCTTCGCAAGCTTGTTTGATTTTCGGAAAACTGAAGAAACGCCAATACGAAATGTCTCTGTTTTTTTTGTTGTTATTACATGAACAACCCACCATTGCACAGTACACCATAGTTACATGTTTAATTCACTGTTTTTTTATTTATATTCCACATAGAGACTTATTTGAGACACATCTAGTAACAAAATAACGAAAATAATCACAAATTAGAAATACATGATACACAAGATATGGGACAGTAAAAACCTTTATATTTACTTTCATGTACTCCGTACCTTCTCACTTGGAGAGAGAGAAAGGTTAGTAAAAGCTAACTAACTTAAATTCTGATAGCAGATTTTGATATACAGGGTGTTTCAGTTTATTGTTGCATAACTTTAAGATTCGATAGAACTTTTAAAATTAATGCATAAAGTCTATATAAACATAGGTCGAAAAATGCGTGGCTTCCGAAATACAGGGTGTTTAAATTTACTTTTTAAAACAGTTTCTTTTAAATATTTCGAACAATATTTGTTGTATAACAGTGATAATTGGTATACAAGGGTTTTTTGGTACGACAAAACGAACCATGAAGCCGCTAGAGGGCGCTCTCTACTGTACCTGTAGTGTATTAAAATGACCGAAAAATTTTTCTTAGTGCAACTTTTTGCCTTTTGATTAAATAAACTGATTCTTCGCACTTTTTTGCATAAAAAAGCTTTCCTGTGAGTTTTCGTTATAGTTAGCCGTTTTTGAGATATTTCGATTTTTAAGGTTCGATGCATTTTTAATTATTTATGGGAAAATAATATTTTTCGATTTGTCCACTACAAGTAATCAAGATGATCGTTTAGATTGTGTTTTTAAACACAGCGATAATTCCTAACTCCAAATAAACACAAAAAACAGAATATTAATTTGTTTAATTTTCCAAGATTATTTTTAACAAATTAAATTAATTATTTACAACTAAAATGCTATTGGATAGTTAGGACAAACATACAAAATTTAAAGTAGTTGCTCGAAATGTAAACCCAATTGTTCAATACACAATTCACATCTACGAATGATCGAACGTGGTATAGCATTATTCAAATAAGGCCTTATTTCATCACATGCATTCCTGATTCTGTCTATTAGCATATCTCTTGTGGTTACGGGAGTCTCGTACACTTTTTCTTTTAGAAACCCCCCACACAAAGAAATCTAATGGATTTAGGTCAGGGGATCGTGGAGGCCACGCAACTGGTCCTCCACGGCCGATCCATCTTTCTGGATAATTTTCGTCCAGCCAGTTTCTAACTATTCTCGAATAATGAGCTGGACAACCATCAAGCTGGAACCAGGCCAATCTTCTTAAATCTAACATAACATCATCCCACATATTTGCATGTTCAGCCTTTAAAAAATCCAAGAAGGTCGCAGCATTTAACCTTGCAGGCAAAAGGTAGGGTCCAAATAGTCGATTACGGTAGATACCAATCCACACGTTCACACTAAAGTCATGCTAAACATTTCTTTCCCGAACTGCATGCGGATTTTCATGCGACCAAATATGTTGATTATGAAAATTTACCACTCCACGTCTAGTGAAGCATGACTCATCGGTCCATAAAACGTTACTTAAAAACTCCCTATTATTATCAGTTCTATCAAGAATCCACTAACAAAATTTAATTCTTCGTTCTCCGTCCCCTGGCTGTAGTCCTTACACAGATTGCAAATGGTAAGGACGTCTATGGTCATTTCTAAGAACACGGTGAACATGGCTTGCTGAAATTCCCAAGGCACCAGAAACTCTCCTAACACTTGTGGTCGGATCTCTATCAAACTCACCCAGAATCATACGGGTAAATCTGCGCTGATGAACATTTATGTTTTGGTCTCTTTGGAGATTTCCAAAATCTTCGTGCGTATTCTCTGGCTGCTTCTGCTGCGTTTCCATTTACAAAGCCATACACAAAATGAATATCCGCTAACTCTTGGTTGTAGAATAAAAATGGCATCTTTATAAAACTTACAAAAAAAAAAAACAGGTAAAAGAAACTAAATTTCGTGCATTCACAATTGAAAAAAAACGTTTCAGGTTTCAACAGACAACAAAACTAACTGTCAACTAATTGACCTATATTCTGCTTTCAATTCCAAAAATATTTGCAGGCACAGCCTACTTCTAAAAATTATCGAGATACTGACTTTTTAACGTTATTTTATCATAAATAATTAAAAATGCATCGAACCTTAAACATCGAAATATCTCAAAAACGGCTGACTATAACGAAAATTCACAAGAGAGCTTTTTCATGTTGAAAAGTGCGAAGAATCAGTTTTTTTATTCAAAAAGCAAAAAATTGCACTAAGAAAAATTTTAATACACTACAAAATACAGTAGAGAGCGCCCTCTAGCGGCTACAGTAAAACTATGGTTCGTTTTGTCGTACCAAAAAACCCTTGTATACTAATTATCACTGTTATACATCAAATATTGTTCGAAATATTTAAAAAAAAACTATTTTAGAAAGTTAATTTAAACGGTATTTCGGAAGCCACGCATTTTTCGACTGATGTGGTTGCCTGGAATGAGATACCACAGGAGGACATTGACCACCTGATCAGAAGCATGCCTAGGCGCGTTGGAGAATGCGTTGGACATCAGGGTGCATCCACACCTTATTAAAGGTCAAAGGGCTTTAAAGCAGTGCAATCATTTTGAAATTCTTATAATTTACTTATTATGCTTCATTAAGTACTTATACAAAATTTTATTAAAATAAACTGGGTGTTCGGATTTATATGTCACTTAGTATATAAAGGACCTTACCGAAAAAAGGTTGTATTTTTAAGACTGGTCACTTTATTCGATGATACTGATACCCTATATACAAAAACGATGTGTATGAAAAATTCAATAGACCCAACTTTGAATAAGACATATAAGGCATTTGTTTGCTAAACGCTCATACAGAAGCTATAGCCAGCGGGAAGTGTTTGGCACTGCTGGATAGTACAGAGTGTATATAAGAATCAGCAATCAAAACTTAGGTAAAGTTCTTATTTTTACTAAACCTTTCTCATCTATGCCCCCACATGGTTAATAAGACCACATGTAAACGCTTCAATCACAAACGAGATCTTCAGTACAAAGACAATATATTTCATTTATATATCTTCTAGGGGACAGTTCGTTTATGTTACTTCCCACGCGTACTGTTGGGGAAGTATTGTAATCGCGAAAATTTTCGAGACTGACATAGAATGTCTTTTGGATGTTATATGACATGTAATGGGTGATTTATTTGTAGGTACTTTTTTCAGCAACAAAATAAAATAACAAAATTCTCTTTTCTTGTCAAATCTTTTTTATTAAAGAAAGAACTATTTTTGACATTTATTTTTTAAATATTATTTCTTTGAAATGTTGGCCCTGACTGCGGTTGAGATGGTCCATTCTAAAGTTCCAATTTTCGATGGCACGTTGGAGCATTTCGACTGGAATTTGGCGAATGACCTGCGTAATGTTGGCTTCTAATTCCTCAATCGTATTGGGCTTATCAATGAAGACTTTGGGCTTAACGCAGCCCCAAAGGAAAAAGTCTAGGGATGTGATATCACATGATCTATTTTGCCAATTCACTGCTCCAAATTGTGAAATTAAGTGTTCATCGAAATGTTCTCGCAATAAAGCCATATTTGCACGGGCTGTGTGGCAAGTCTTGTTGGAACCAAAATATTACGGGCTTCAATTTCAGGCAGCAAATAATCCGTTATCATGGCGCGGTAACGAGCACCATTCACAATTACGTTCTGACCGGCCTCATTTAAAAAGAAATAGGGACCGATGATGCCACCGACCCATAAACCACACCAAACCGTTGTTTTCGCATGGATGTAGTTGCAGCTCTTGAACCACTTCGGGTTGTTCTTCACCCCAAATACTACAGTTTTGTTTAAACGTAGCCGTTAAGCCAAAAATGGGCCTCATCGCTAAACAAAATATTGCTCGAAAACATCGGATCTTCTTCAAGCCGTGCAAGAGCCCAAAGACTGAAACGATGACGCTTTGGAAGTGTCGGCCGGCTTCAATTCTTGAACGAGTTGGATTTTGTATGGTTTCAAATTAAGATTCTTTCGTTAAATATGCCAAGTTGTTGAATACGACAAGACAAGCTATTGAGAACGGCGCCGAATCGATTCCTCACGGTCCTCACGTATACTCTCAGCTACCGCAGCTATATTTTCTTCACTGAGTGCTGGATGTGGTCTATTTGGTCGGGTATAATCCAATAATGAAAATTGGGTTTCAAATTTTTTGACCGTACGGCGATCTGTGCGTTCGGTGGGCCGATGATGTACACCATACGTTGCACGAAACACACTTCTCGCAGAACGTTGATTTTCGTAGTACATCTGAATTATTTGTAGACGCTGTACTGGAGTAAGTCTTTCCATGATGAAATGTCAAACAATACTGAAACAGAAAATGTCAAATTGGTTGTCATGACGCATGCGCCATAAGCAATTAGAGCCACACCAAAAAAGTACCTCTAAATGAATCACCCGTTACATCCCGAAAAACCATGTCACTCATTTCCGTCGGTCTATCAGCTAACCTTATAACCGCCTATAACTTGAGCAATACACATATCAGGCATAGTTTACTCATCATACATGTCCCCATACCTTTGCTATCAAAACCTTCAACCTCCAGAAAAGTGTAACATATTCAGGATCTGGTTTTCTGGTAGGTTGTACCGTCTTCTCATGTTCTCTTACTCTATTACCGAGTAAAAACACTATAACATCCTAAAAATGACATGTTCTTTTTGTAGAACAAAATAATATTGGAGGAAGTTACTGAGCATATTATATGAGTGAAAAAAATTTCATACAAATTTTGAAGAACGGCGGTACCGCAGTAATTTTTACAAGACACCAAGAATTTAGGCGCTCTGAGTCAGGCAGTCTAACTGCTGCAAATTTGGATAAAAAAAATTAAAAACACAACTATCTCACATACTTCTAGCTAAGAAAATACGTAGGGGATTTCACAAATATTCATTATATTCATTATTATTTGAAGTAATGATTAAATTAACTTATCTAAAATCCTTCAAGTATTTCCCTGCAAAATACTTTTATAAGGATATTGTAAAAAGGCCAAGCAAAAGACTGATAATTGCTTGAGTTATGCTGCCATTGTTAAATATTTTTTTATGATAACTTTCTTTGTTGCTACTTAAATATATGCTTATAAGCTCAGACCTTAGATCACTTATTGAGGCTACGCATTAGAAAGGCTACAATTCGTAAAAAATCGCTACGAATGTCTTAACCCATAAAGAAATGATTTTTACCCCAATTACGAAAACTATACCGAGTGACAAAAAAGGGTAAACATCTGCCGATGTTTATCGCATCTTAATAATTCTTGGCATATGTGTTTGCCGCATTTAAATGACCTTGCATTTTTGTTGTCTTAACGAAAATATTTTAGATTTATTTTTTGTCTATCTGAACATGTAATTTTTTGTAGTGTTCTATTTATGACAAATAGACTGTCGTAAAGTAATTCTAGATATCTATTTATATAAACTTTGCTAAACGGTATAAACTATAAAATGCTGATTCCAAAAACGTATATGTCATTCACTGACATTACCAAACCGTTATTAAAAAAACGGATATTTCTATAATTGGCTTTGGGAATGGCAGCTTACTACATGTTTATTCGATTACAGCACCAATTGCATCAGTTGAGACGGGTTTCAAGTATGCTCGGATATTAATCAACTACCACAATTCTCATTTTAGCACGATGGAGCTTCTTTACATGACACCTCAGCCATATATTAATGTTACTCGAACTTAAATGCAAGGTATATGCATCGGTTTTGATATATTGATATTCCTATCCATTTCTTAAAATTGTGATGTTTTGGATGTTTCCATTAGTGCCTTAAATAATATGAAAAAGTTAGCATTATCGTCTCTATTCGATAGTAAATACGAAGAATACAAAGATTACTTTTTAGATCATATCTGAAGTTTCATAATATCGTTTGTTTCGTGTTATTCACAATGTTACAATTATTAAAAATCTGTAATAGGGTGTGCTTACCTATACCCATTTTATAAAAACTGAAGGAATGCTTGGCTGGTGATATTACAAAAGCAAATGAACATCTGCTAATTTCAAGACCTACTGTCCCTTTGAAAACAAAAATTCACTTTCAATATGAGCTTGGTAAAGCAACACTTTTATTTTTCTATATGTTTTACATCAGTGTGTTTTAATAACGATTTGAAGTAACAATTGTTGCGATCATGCATTCCTATAAAATAGTTGATTAAATATTTGCAAATTGGCGACTTTTCGACAAATGTGCCACAACTGCAAACTTCACTCATTAGGATAACTGTCAAGTACTAAAATGAAAAGAAAAATTTCCACAAAAGTTCAAAATACATGTGGTCTACAACATTTGAATATTTGAGTAAGTTTCAGTGACAAAAAATCTATTTATTTATTGTCATCCTTTGTCTGGACGATCAAGATCCCTCCAGAGGTTTTACGATTTACGAAAAAATGTGATTTATTATTTTAGTCACACTTTTGGCCGATGATCTGAAAGAGATAACTCACGATTTTTTATTGCTTGATCCACTTTTTCAGTTATTATTAGAATATGTCACAATGACAGTGACGGAAATCCCTCCAAACTCAACTTATCCGATTTTAGCGTTTCGTCTCTGATAATATCCTGTGCCCTTGGCGTAAGTGGTACTTGTTTTTTTCTGTATCTGTTGCAGATAAGGATCGTGACAGTCCAAGGTGGCGCTGCCTCTTCCGAATGACAGAACTGCTGCTGGTCAACGGAACGACGGGCGCGCGAGCCACCGGAAACGGCGACACCCTCGATTTCCGGTCCGACCGTTACGACGAGTTGATGTCTGCTGCTGGTTATACTGCGGCGGCGGTGACTCTCTTCTTAATCGGATTATTCGGATTCTTTTTGAATCTCTTTGTCATCGCCATTATGTGGAAGGATAAACAGGTGAGAATATGCTAACTACCAGATCGATCTCAATTAGCTTTCTACTATTATAGGGGCCACAGGTGTTTCTAGCGCTCCTTCGCCTAGATGGTTAATAAAATGACCTTTATTTAGAAAAAAAAGTAGCATCCATCTGACTTCACGCTATTGATATTGTTTTTTATAAAAACCAATAGTACAGGGTGGTCCATAAGTCCTTTGAAATTTCAAATTTGAATAAAATTTAACGGGTGAGCGTGAGCGGTGCGGGCGAGGTGGGGGCAGTATCTTCAGTGTCTGGGAATTCAGTCGCCATGGAGTGTTTCACTGGAGCGGATCGTGCTTTTTGTGTGCGCGCGTTTTATCAAAATATTGATTCGGCAACCATTGCGCGGCGTAAATATCGAGAATACCACAATTTACACAATTTTACAAAGTGTCCAACAGCTCAAACGATTAAGAACTGGGTTGCTAAGTTCGAAGAGACTGGTTCGACGTTAGATAAACAGCGGTGGGGTCGACCAAGGACAACTCGTATTGAAGAAAACATCAACATTGTGGCACAGTCTGTTCGTCAAAATCCTACCCAGTCTACTCGTAAGCGTTCCAGTGCACTAAACGTACCCAGAACATCTGTACAGCTGATTTTAAGGAAAGATTTACGTCTGCACGCTTACAAAATTCAGTAAGTGCAGGACTTAAAAGATAATGACGCTATTCAGAGACTAAACTTTGCGAATGAAATGTTGAATCGATTTTCTTCGCTCAATAATGTGTTGTTCTCGGACGAGGCTCACTTCCATTTAAACGGGCATGTAAATAAACAAAATTGCCGTTATTGGAGCCCCGAAAATCCAAGGCGTAAGCATCAGAAGCCCTTACACAGCCCTAAAGTTACAGTTTGGGCTGCTATGTCAGCGCATGGCATGGTAGGCCCTTATTTTTTTGAGGACGACAGAGGTCGCGCATTAACCGTTACTTCGGAGCGGTATGTAGCAATGATAGAAGAGTTTTTGACACCAGCGTTGCAGAATTTTCCAGGCTATAATACGCAGACCTGGTTTCAACAGGGCGGAGCAACTGCCCACACCTCCAACACTTCTATGCCCGTCGTCTGTTAACTTTTTCCCAGCAAAGTAATTTCTCGAAGAGGAGACATTTCCTGGCCACCACGTAGTCCAGATTTGACCCCAATGGACTTCTTTTTATGGGGCTACCTCAAGAGTAAAGTGTACGACACCACTCCGCGATCAGTTGATGTCCTGAAAGAAAATATCCGAAGAGAAATGGCAAGCATTACAGTGTTGACTTGCCGCGCAGTCATCGACAATTTTAGACGTCGTTTATATGAGTGCCGTGATCGTAATGGATTGCATTTAGACGATGTGATTTTTAAAACATAATTCCCATTCAATAAAGATGATAACACAATATAATAATTCTTCATAATGTAACTAGTTTGGTTTTATTCTTTTTTTTCCAGCTCAAAGGACTTATGGGCCACCCTGTATAACCAAAGACGAACAAGTTCAAATACCTTGACGAAGCATGTCTATAAGAACTTCATTTTCATAACCACAAAGCTGAATCCCATGAAATCTCATTCAGCTGTTAAAAGCAAGACCTCATTGCTCAGCTACTGGATGTCTCACCACTGTCGGTATACACATGCGTCAAATTGCCGAGCTGCAGGAAAACGTATGTTGAAACGCGCAACTTCTTGCCCTTGCATTCAGACGCGAGTTATGCATTCCTAAGGTGTCCATGTAACGAAAACACCGATATTTCTACTGCCCAAAGTCTAGTTTATCACTTTTACACTAATTTATGACAATTTATAACTATGTTGACTGGAGTAAGGCTTGCGCGTAATACCGCAAGGCATCGCCCACTCTCGACTGCTCGACTGTCCACTGACTGACTGCTTCCGTCATCTGGTCCGATATTTATGTCGTGAATTGACGGTTCCAGATGCAATACAGCATTTTCTAGCAAACACTCAACTCCTCTCCGAAGCTGGTTAGAAAAATAAAAGTCAAAGTCGGCATTAAGAATGATGTAGTTTTTTGGCAATAGTTTTAGCAACTATCTGGAATACTGAGATTGTACGGAGTCCACGCACTTTTATATGTTTTATTTATTTATTTAGAACCGATACACTGCCTGAACAGATTACTTCAATTAATAGGCAGAAGGAAATCAAATTCATACAAACAAAAACTGTAGACGGTACGTGATAGGAAACAGGCAAAAGTATAACTCATCTAACAGTTAAAAACACCTGCTAAGATTGCTCTCGGTGAAACTGAGAGCATCAAGTTCACAACACCCTCACAAACATTACGCAAGTGGCGAAAATAACAATAAATTTGTTCGTGGAACAGGTCAATAAAATGAAATGTTACTACCACGACCAGCACGTAAATCGAGAACGCGCAAGGAGATCCTGTCTGAACGAGAAGGAAAATCAATAATTAAATTAGAAAGATTGTACCTACTCAGAAGTGTCCTTGCGAATGCCCCTTTCAAGGTACACTCGATCATCCTTTTAAGGACTTTGGAGTAACCTTCGACAGCAGGCTAATGTTTAGCGAGCAAATAATTAATATCTCATCGGCTGCCATAAGACTACTTAGCTTCTGTATCAGAAACTGGCAGTACTTTAATGACTTTGTTTTTTATTTTTGTCAGGAGCTGGCTGGAGTATGCAACCCTGACCCAAATATACCAGAATTCAGTTTCAATGATTGAAGGCAATCAACGTAAGGCTATTAAGTATTTTTACTTGAAATGTACTGGTTCCTATCCAGAAAGAGGTTTCTGTCATCATACCCTTTTGATTTTTTTCGATTTGGATTCTCTATCTATGCCTTGTCGTCTTTATATGGCCTTACAATCAAACTGACTGTCCTCAGCCTTTTATTCTCAGGCCGACCGGACGAACTTAATGTTTAAACCTTCAATTCATGTAATGTGCAGTCCGATGAACTCTATTTGTGAGCTGTGTGATATTTACAATGACAGCTGATACCAAACAAATAAGTCATCGATTGTTCACTGAACTTACTTAGGCCAATTGGTGCTAAGTTTAAGTTTTCAATGTGTCCCTTTATTTTCTTTTTCCTGTAGGAAATATGAAATATAAAATAAAATAAAGATATGAAATATGTACTTCACACACCTCAAACATGTCGGTTTAACTCTACGCGTAAACTTATAGTAGAACATTTATTGCCATTCAATCCATTATGTGCAAATCAGCATGTATCTTATAAGCCGCAAAGGCTATTTAATATTTTCAAAAGTCAGCATAAAGCAAGTACTCGCAAAACAAATCACAAAATCATCGATAAAAACTAAAAATAATAATGGACCAAGAACAGACCCTTGAGGTACCTCTGATACAGTCAGTACCGCAGAACTATGGTAATCCACAAATAAATACGTGTCACTAATGTAGGAATGAAAAAAGTTAAGAATCTAGATGTTCAGAAACACTTATACATCTTCTGCGGTAGAAAATCGTGAACCAAGCGGTTGAAAGGTTTCGAAAAACTACCATAGACTACATCAACCTGCCCGTCATTATCCAGAACTGAATTGAAACATGCCAAGAATAGATTAACCCGTTTAGAAGCTATGCTGAATTTCCGACATTGTCAAACTAACATGAAGAAGCAAAACATCAAAATGGACAAACTTTGGCAAAAAAGTTGGCAATATTAGTCAAAATAACAACTCCAATATAATTTTCTATTTGCGATCGACCGCCTTTTTCGACAACAGGTGTTATTTTTGACAATTTCCATTTCCAGCCAGAGAAATACAAATTTAATTTAAAAAGTCAACAACTGTCAAACTGGCGGCTTAAATCTGACTGGCATGTAGTATGAACTTGCATCCTGACAACACAATTTTGGTGAAAAACAAATCGTATACTTATTCCTTCTACCAAGTCCCAATCCGTTGGTTTGTACGGATTTTTCGTACTGAGTCAGTCCTCAAATTTTCTCGTCAACTGTAACATCGATTCTGGACGTTCCTTAAATACAGCAGACGCTCGATAACGTAAACACGGGATAATGAAAACTTGCGCTAATGTAAACACAAACTTCGTTCTATAGGATCAAACGTAACGCGCGATAACGTAAACAATGTGTACGCTCGATAACGCAAACAACTCTCGGCGCACGGAAACAGCGCGACGGTACAATGCTGAAGACTCGATGATTTATGTCGGACGTCGGGGAGTCCCCGATTTGTGATATAGAGTGTAGGGGATTCACCTCTGCGATAAAATACGACAAACTCGGTCAGTCGTATGATCGTTTAGGATACGTTTATACGTACGTATGTATTTCATTTTTGAACTTAAGTGAATACATTGCACGCGTTAATATATTTGACGACTATGGCATCCACATCCTATAAAAGAAAGTGTTTAAAGTTGAGTGAGAGAGTAAAAATCATAGACGAAGTTGCACTAGGTGCAGGAGTGACACAGTTAGCAAAAAAATATGGAGTATCGAAAGCAACGATCTGTAAAATTAACCGTATGAAAACTGAAATTTTACAAAGAACGTGCAATACATTTGGGGTCCGGGAAAAAAAAAACTTTAAAAAATGCGAAGGCACCTAAAATGAAAAATTCCCTGTATAAGTGGTTTTTAAAACAACGGGAAAATCATGTCCCAGTTAGTGGCGAAGTAGTTAAACAGAGAGCGAGACTGTTAAATGAAAAACTCAAAATTTCGTAGCTATTGATGGCTGGCTACAACGATTCAAAACAAGATATGGAATTCGACTGCTGTCTATAAACAATTGCCGAGCTAGATTTAAGAATGGAACAAATTTACAATGCAGATGAAAGTGGCCTTTATTGGAAAATGTTACCAAAGAAAACCTATGCTGCGTCATTTGAAAAATCTGCCCCGGGAAGGAAGCCGGAGAAACAACGAATAACTTTTCTAGCCTGCACTAATGCTAATGGTTCACACAAAATAAAGCCACTGGTAATTGGG